TCCAGAACATAATAATTAGATCAAACTAGCGCTAAAAATCTTGATATAGAGGGAAACTAGACGTAATGTTAATAGATATGAAGTACGCCTTACTCTCTTCGTTCGTTCATCTATTTTATCAGTATATTCACGATAATTTTCATACTTCCGATAGAGATGACGTTATTGTTCCTATTGTTGAGAAATACTTTGTTGAGGAAATGAATGTAGTTGACGAAACATATGATGACAAAATATGTTGTCTTTATTTCATTGGTGTTCGATCGGCAACCGATGACTCATGTAAATGTACATGTGTATGTGAAACATATGAAATTACATCATTGCATCACCTGAGAGACTGTTTAAATATGAAGCAGTATGCATCCTTTGATTACATTTGGTGTGTGAAATAATGGCATTCAACATGAGTTACGCAAACATAGTCAAAGAAGATCATTCGAAAACTGGAAGACAACTATTCGACTTAGTTCGTTCTGGTAAGTCGAACGAACTCAATGCATTTTTAAGTGATAGAAGATATGCACGCAGTTTACTCACTTCGATGTGGACACGTGTGTCGACAAAAGATCATCTCAGTTTATTGATGATAGCTGCTTCAGTTGGAGATGACATGATAGTACGTGAAATACTCTCTCATTCACCGAATATAGTAAAAATCGTTGAACTTAGAGGACGAATGCACAGTTCCGATGGAGATCTAGTCAACAATGTAACTGCATTATGGTGTGCTCTTGATCGAGCTCATTTTACTGTAGCACATACTCTGATCGATATAGGTAAAGCCAATGTCAACCATGGTTCACTTCATCCATTATTAATTGATGCTGTAATTCGAGGAAGACTTGACATTGTTCATTTTCTCGTCGATAATGACTATGCTGATATTAATCAAACGAAAACAAATGATGAACATGGATGCAGTAATCTGATTGAATCGGTTACCTATGGTCATACCTCGATCGTCGAGGATCTCATCCGGAAAAATGCGAAATTAGAATTAAAAACATCTACTGATGGAAACACAGCGTTAGCTGTTGCGGCAATCAAAGGAAATCTAGAATTAGTACAATTTTTGTACATGGCAGGTGCTTCATTGTCTATAAGAAATCATGCAAACAAAACGCCAATAAGGTTAGCAGCCGAAAATGAGCATTTCAATGTCGTTGACTATTTTCTTGAACAAGATCATGATGCTGCGGTGTTTAATGATCTTGAACTCGCTGTTGCTTCACATATACTCACCTATAGGAATACTTCAAATTACAAATCAGAATGGGTAATAGAATTATTCCGATATTTATTAGCCAAACGAATACAATTCAATGTACCAAAAAACATTCTTGAACCAACTGATTTGTATGGTTATCAACAAGAATGTCAAACAATTGATGAATTTAATCAAATTCAAAGCAACGATGATCGTTTGCATGTCGAAGCGTTACTTATACAAGAACGTATTCTTTTAAATGATAAAGATAATAAATTATTATCTTGGTTGTTCGATCGAGCAATGGTACTTATTACGAAAGGTCAATTCGATCAGTGTCTCGATGTAGTCCTACATATTTATCATCTATCTCAACGCAGTGAATATCAGCCTTCTCTCAAACAATATTTTTGGATTTTCTACACTATGTTCAGATCAAAAGAACCTATTCCTGATCATCGATTCTGGGAAACATGCGATCTGATCTTCAAGTCTTCGACACCAAATTTTAATCATTCTCATAAAAGAGATAAATTTTATCTACTTGATTTAGGCTCAAAGGTAAGACAATCTTTTCACGAAGAGATACATAGATGATCATGTTTTGTTCGAGAAAAATCGAATTTGAGTATATATATCAATACTTTTTCTTCTCATTAAGATTGATTTTCCTGATATTTCGATGGTTTTAAATGCAATAAATTTAAAGTACAAAAATGTTGCAAATATTTATTGTCATGGTTCATGGGTTCAAGGGACATGTACACCAACATCTGATCGAGATCTAATCATTGTGACATATTCTCAGCAAGATCCATTAAGTTTTTGGGAAGATTTTGATTATTTTCATGAATTTGAATTACATAAATTATTCAATAAATATGATGTATGTATTTATTCTGTGGAAAATTTCGAAAGATTATTAGAAAAAAATTATTTACTCTGTGTACAATGTTTATTTTTACCCGAAGAATTTAAATTGAAAGAAGAGATCGATTTTCGTCCGATTTATTTCAACAAATTTTATGATCCAAAACGAATTAAACAAGTGGCTTTCTATGAAATGTACGCTTCTATTATACTAATTAATCCTCCGAAGAGATCAAGTCCGTCTTCTAATACTTTAACAGATGATCAAAAAACTCTATCACGTCGCGATTTTATATTCAAAAATTTATTTCACGGAATTCGATTCTTGGATCTTGCTGAACAATTAATTCAGACACGTTCTATCTATGATCTAACACGTGTATCACATATATTAGATATCATGAAAGATATACGTGGTGATCCGACAGATCAATCAGCTTTAGATCGGTAAGTAATATTTATCCTGATAATAATAAAGTTTTTCGTTTAATTTTAGTGTACTTGATTACGTACGCGTTAAAAGTACGGTGATTAAATCTCGATTGGATGCACTGGTACCAAGAGATCCTATTGAAGGTATATTTAAAGTATATATTACATTTAAATATCAATCAAATTTTCAACAAATGCTGAAAATCCTTAGGAAAAAATTTTACAATACAGAATATCAATTAGCAATTATACAAACAAATATATATTCAAAGAACGGTGAATCTTCACAATTAATTGCCATACGATCTTATCGTGGTGAATATCCATCAATCATTCCAGTAATTGAAAAAGAAGTACATGAAGATTTTGCTGGTTTTGATATAGTAGGTATAACAGTCAAATCATTAGTATCAAATATAGGTGTGCCAATCAATGATATTGATACAAAATTATTTTGGAATGAACAAATTAATTGTTTCGAATTTCATTATCAATTATCACCAAATCAATTATACCCAAAAAGGTCGTTCCGAGCAATGATGAATGTTCTTCATGGAAAATGTAGATTGGAATCATATCTATCATTATATTCAATAAAACGAATCGACCCAAACGTATTTCAAACTAGATGGAAAATATTTTTGTTTAATGTTGGTCGGCAAACAGCATTAGAAGTGAATGATGAAGTGATGAACAGCACAAAACAATATATTATTAGATTATCAAAAATTGAGTCAGAATTTATTGTTTATCATACAAATATCGACTGAATAAATATTGTTGATAGTTAACTTAGATATATTTATTAGTCTCGAATATGATCTGATGCATTCGTCTGCAGATGATGAAGAGAACTTAGAAAAATATATGACATGGAATGTTGAAAGAGAAAATATAAATGATAAATTGAGGTATCGACCAGAACTGCAGAATCTACCCGTGTGCGCGACCGGCCTGTCGGGGATATTTCTGAAAACTTATTACTAGCTGGGGAAATTTTTCGAGAAACTATTTTTCCTCTTAGAAAAATGTTACATCATCATACGTATGCGCATACGTGAGGGTGAACATGTGGGGTGAGAATAACTGTGGTAATCTAGATTTCACTGTAGCTACACAGATCATCAGACGACTTTAAAGAATAATAATGATTTAATCTAACCTATAGTTGCGAGATATGCTAGACATCGAAGTGGTTGGATGAATGCTTTGATCCGATTAGACATTGAACATAACTCGTTGAGTATTGTTTTATTACTGAAATCTCTTGTATTGGTAAGCCAAATGAGAATGAAGTTGCCAAATTTTCGTCGACATAGAGCGACCTTAGCGACCATTATGCTTTTGTCAGCTGAACTGGGTTTTCTAAGCAAACACATCATGTCGAATAATTACGCTGGTCAACTAGTAATTAATTTATATCAAAAAAACTTTTCCTACTCAAGACATTAAATTCTTGCGACACTGTGATGTTTTACTATAATAGTATGTGTTTGACTCATATTAGAGCTAGACAAAACACTTCTAGACGCTTTCTACTTTTTCAAAAGTTTCTCCAGAAACGATCGCCATAGCTAGTGGCTTAACGAAGAGAACGGAGGATTACTTTAACCTTTACTCAATTTCTGGAGCCGTATACATGGGGGTGTGGGTGTGGGCGTGGGTGGGTTTGGGTGTGGGGCGTGGGTGTGGGGTGTGTGTATGTGGGTGGTTGGGTGTGGGTGTGGGTGTGGATAGGTGTGGGTGTGGGTATGGGTTTCGATCGAA